TGTCTTGCGGTCAGTCTCCTAAGTAGCCCTGCAGATGTGACGGACCTCAGAGAAGGAAGCCCCACTTCTTGACTTCCCTGCACCTGTTTGCTTTCTCCCTTTCCTCCAGCGTTTGTTTTGAGTCATCTCAGGACACCTCCCAGTACCATGCACCTCCCTTCTGCAACATGCTCACTCCCCAGCCTGGAGAGGTCCCAAAAGTCACCACCTTTTCTTTTTGTAGCCTTGTAGTCTTAAAAGGATGCTTTATTGATATATTTATAAAAGTGTAATTATAAAGGAAGAGGGTTACACTGTTCACAACCCCTGGCAACCCGGAGGGGCAACAGCAAATCACATATCCATTTTTCTTACACATATACACATTCTCTGAAGAATCCAAGAAAAGCAAAATAAGGCCTCAGTGGTGATCGACATTGGAAGTGGAAGTGGGGTAAGAAGAGAAAATAGTGCGTGTTTCCAGAAATATTCTTCTCACTTCTAGCCCCTTGCTGCAGTAGCTCTCACCTCCTGGCGCAGAGTCAATGGACAGTAGTATGTGGCACTGTCAAAGGAGGGTGGCGCCTAGGTGGAAATGTCCAATGTGTGTACCTGTGTGTAGCTTAGGAAGGCAGAGTACAAGTTTCTGAGAGAAGTGGAGAGATGGAGAGAAAGGTTTTTCTGTGGAAATGAGGCTAATGGATGGGTGTGGAAAGGGGTTGAGAAGGTGCTTCTGGGGAGTAGATGGTGCCATTTCACTTTCTCATGAGGCAACACGGACATGGACACGGTGCCACGCATTGCTGAGCACGCCTCGCAGGTTCCAGATTGGGGCCACGTTGTCTGGCTGCACATTGTAGCTGTCATCTACAGCCTTACAAACAATGTTCAGTTCCTTTTTCCCAGGTGGTACAGGGGCTTGCAGCTGCCAGAGCCGCCAGGCCCAGGCCTTGCGGGGGCGCTGTTCCTCTCTATCCAGCTCAGCCACCTGCCAGGTTAGGCCCCCATCCAGAGATACATCCACCCTGATCACAGCCCTTCCACCACCACTCCACGCATAGCCCTTGACAGTCACCTCCCCTGCCTCTACCATCTCCCCATCCTTGGGCTCTGTGATGGCTGACTGGACAGGAAGCTCCTGAATAGATGGAGAAGAGTCAAAATCTACAGAGTCCCAGTCCACAGAAGGACAGAAGCCTTTGTAATCTCGCCGCTGCCAATGGCTGTAACTTTCCTCTGGTTCCACACTCACTTTGCCCAGCCATTTGACATGGCGGGCACCCACCACACCAGGAACCACCACCCGCACAGGAAAGCCATGGTCACGAGGCAGAGGCTGCCCATTCATCTCATATGCCAGCAGGACCTCAGCTTCAGGGTCCATGGCCCGAGCCAGAGGGATGGATGCTCCGTAGGCAGTCCCTGTGGGGTCCGAGTCCAGTCCCTCAAAGCAGACGTGGGCCTCAGTTTCACGGAGTTGGTGACCAGCCTTAGCTAATACATCACACAGGCGTGCCCCAGCCCAGCGTGCAGTGCTAATGGCGCCTGTTCTCCACTCCAGACCTCTTACTTCTTTTACCTGACTCATCTCAGAGCGCCGGTTGCCAGCACACTGCAGGGTGACCGTGATCTCGTGCTTGGGGAACTTGTGTAAGTCATCCAGCGACAGAGACAGTGGCCGTCTCCCAGGTGGTCCTACAATATGCAGGCGATAGGTGTCTGGGTCCAGGTTAGGTACAGGCAGATGGTTTCGAGTGAAGAAGATAGGGTTGGGTGTGATGTAGGTTTCTGTCAGCAGCTCAGGGGGGGGCTCTGCATTAAAGGGGCGCTGGCTGTTGACCTTCAGAGCTGGGTGACGTATAGGATCATCAGCGTAAGGGTCAGAGGTCTTCAAGGTGGATGGCATCTTGTCTTCAGGGCTCAGCTCCCCGATCTTGTACTGAGCCAGTATCTCACGTATGTGGGACTGGTTGTGAACAGCATAGAGGGCCCAGAAGGGCTCCAGAGGACCCCCAGCTGCTAGCATCAGCTTTGATGGCCCCCCTGGGTGTAGGTCCACAAACTCTGTGACATCAAAGACCTCAGAGCCCAGAGTCACCCAGATCCTAGTCTCAGGGCTGCTGTGGGATTTTACTTCCTCTCGGGTGTATATGTGTGGTGACTCCTGAGCAGCCTGCAGGGAGAACAGGGGTGAGGCAAAAGGGAACAGAATATTAAGAAGCAATCACTGCAGCTCACCCTAAGCCAATCCACAAAGTCGTGGCCACTGGGAAATGGAAGTAGCAGATTTCATCTCTACTTGTACATGAAGACGTGTCAACTGTGGGCTCTGTGGTAACACCCTGGCTTGCCTGGGAGCACACTAGGATCCCTGAGAGTGAAGTCTTTTCCTTTCCCACTTACCCTGCAACGACGGTCATGATAGGCCAACACTGCACCAAGGCCTAACAGGGTCCCCATGACTCTCCATCCCCTGGTGCTGGAGTTATCTGTAGAGAAGGCACGGCTGGGGCACTGATGCTGAAATGAATCATTTGTAGAGCAGGCCTGAATGCAGATCCTTGAGTGGGTAGACTTGAATCTGGAAGAGAAAGTGAGTCTTCTTAGTAACACACTTCTGATCAGCGAAGGCCTGGGGTGTACCTCTCCCTGGCTGGCCAGTGGCTCCTTTAGTTGGAACTTATTTTCTCCAGGGATAGGTGAGACAAGTGGGATCCGGCTTACCCTTTCCTTCCTTGCCACCATCTTTTTTTTTTTTTTTAAATATATTTTATTTATTTTTTACAGAGAGGAAGGGAGAGAGATAGAGAGCCAGAAACATCGATGAGAGAGAAACATCGATCAGCGGCCTCCTGCACACCTCCTACTGGGGATGTGCCCGAAACCCAGGTACATGCCCTTGACCGGAATCAAACCCGGGACCCTTGAGTCCACAGGCCGAGGCTCTATCCACTGAGCCAAACCGGTTTCGGCTCCTTGCCACCATCTTAATTATCTTATCTGGCAGATAAGATACTGTACTGACAGGATGAAAGGGAATAGGGTTAGAGGGAGAAATAGGAATTTTCTAGAATCACCCATCTCCCGTCTTCCACTCTACTTTTGGGCCTAAAAGGGCAAAATTTCTTTCTTTTTTTAAATATAAAGATACTGGGGGTAAAAGATATGGGTTAGGAGACCTTTTAGGATGGGCTGGCCTACCTGCAGGCCGGTCTGAGCCCCAGGGCTACAGCTCTATGCAGCAGCAGCAGCATTGTGGCAGACCTGTAGGAGGAAGATTCTGAGATCAAGATAGGAATTCCTGGGAGGGGATGCTATTAGGGCAATCTGAGGGAATGAGTGGGAGGAAGACACAGAGGAGGTCATCTGGAGAGACTTTTTCTGTGGTAATGAGGCCAAAGGGTAGGAGTGGGGGTCCAAATGGGCCCTTAGAGAAAACCTGGAGCATTTCAGACACAGACTGTACTGACAGGATGAAAGGGAATAGGGTTAGAGGGAGAAATAGGAATCTTCTAGAATCACCCATCTCCCACCCTCCACTCTACTTTTGGGCCTAAAAGGGCAAAATTTCTTTCTTTTTTAAAAATATATTTTATTGATTTTTTACAGAGAGGAAGGGAGAAGGATAGTTAGAAACATCAATCAGCTACCTCCTGCACATCCCCTACTGGGAATGTGCCCGAAATCAAAGTACATGCCCTTGACCGAAATTGAACCTGGGACCTTTCAGTCCGCAGGCCCACGCTCTATCTACTGAGCAAAACCAGTTAGGGCCAAAATTTATTTCTTAAGACAGGAGAAGACAACTGAAGGGCAGACTGACTTAAACAGGAACAAAAAGGTAAAAAAGGTAGTGGCAGCCTAATGGGGTGCAGGACCTGATTCTGGAGTCAAACTGCTTTGAGAAACCGGCTCAGCCATTAACCAGCTCTGTTCCCTGGGCAACATAACGAACAAAGCCTCTCTGAACTTGCTTCCTCATCTAGGAAATGAGATCACCCATAGCCAGCTGCTGTGATCAGTAAACAAGTAATAACATTATCTCTGAAGGCCTTTCAGTCCCCTCCTCTCTCCACCCACCCTAAAAAAATTGAACCCAGCTGGGAACTGGACCCCAATCCCAGGTCCCCACCCTTACCTTGTCTATGCCACTCCAGTGAGCTCAGCAAATTGAGGCGTCAATGGCCAGTGTGTCAGGGTATGGGCTAGAGTAGGAAGAAGGTAATTATTCTGTTCTCTGCCCTGCAACAGTTTCTTCCTCACAGCACTGAGCAGATCACTGACCCCACCAAGACGGGAGGAGTGAGAAGAGTCCCAATGGCTGATGAGATGCTGCAGGGCAGGCAGAAAAACTGAGGGAGAAAGAAGTAGGAGCAGGGTCTGCATTTCACTCCTGGGCCATGGGCCTCTCATTCTCCCTTCCTCCCACCTCCCTCAATCCCAGCAGCCCACTTGAGTCAGACTGGAGTGGTGCAGGTAGGGCTGACCTGCAGGGGAACTCAGTCAATTCAATGTCGCAGGTTTTAGGAGAGGCAGCCTTCTGCTACATAAAAGATGCCACGCCTTGTGCGGGTGGTGGCTCCCCACTCCTCAGGGGCACTTTAGGTAGGAGGATATGTCCAGCACCAGGGCATCTGGTCCCCATGCCACCATCCAGAAGCTGGCACAAGAGTGTCTTGTAGCAACACCCCGTGCCCCAGGAGCACCCAGACAGCGGGAGTGGAGGTGGGTACTGGCAATTTTGTTGTCCTTGGAGTTCCAAGCACCCCTGGGTGCCAAGGCCCCTACCGTGGCCCAGGGCACTAGCCCTTCCCCCTCCACTTCCCTCTCCCGGCCCCAAACCCCTTACCCAGTTTGAGGTCCGCGTGATGGACCCGTCCGGCGCCGGAGACTGCTGGTGAAGGGGCGAGGCCCGCGCTGTGACGTTGGTTGGAGTTAAAGGATCATTTGCGTTCCTCGGCTCGTCGCGCAGCCATTGGCGGGCCTGCGAGCTGCTGTGCCCGCCTCCTGGAGCCAAAGCAGGCGGGGCGCCTCCAGGGCTAGAAGCTAGGGCAGTTTGTTTTACACCCTCGCCGGGCAGGGAATGGGACCCTCACTGATGTCCGGACCCTGGGCAGTGGAAGGTGACGAGGACTCCAAAGGTTGGGCTGAAAGATGGAAGACTGGGATGCCCCCGCCCCGCCTACAGCTGAGAATAAAGGTGCGTTCACTGGACGAGGCCGCGGGATCCAGCCCGCTTTCTCTTGGCGGGGAGGCTCGCCTTCACCCTGTTTTTGATCAACATCTATGTTGCAGCGATAACAGCCCTGCTTGCCTTTTAGAAAAAACAAGGTCAAGCGATTCTTATACAAGAATGAGCAGAAGCCTAAATAGTGGTTCAAAGCCTTTGAGATTTCGTGGACTAGTCAAATTTCTCCCCAAATTAGGGAACCAGCAACACAGAACAGCCACGTTTTTTTAATTTTGATTCATTAAGTCAATTTTTAAAAATCGTCGTTTAACAAGAGCAACGACATATATAACACCCCAAATTAGGAAGATTATAATCGCTCATAATCTTAGAGCAAAGAACACTAATACAAATAATTTGCTCTAGCATTTGGTGCAGGACTAAAAACTTGTTTTGTCATTGGCCGGCGGTGAACCTGGGGCAAAGATATCTACACTGCCCTCTAGGGAACAGAAGGTTGAGCTACAACCTTACTCACTTTACATTAAGGACTTCATCTCTAATTTTGGAAGATCATTCCCCCCAACCCTCCCCTTTCTGATCTCTTAAACTGAACTAGAGATATTACCAGGAATCCAGGAGCCTGGGGGAGTACTAAGAAATATACAGAAAGGGGCAATGACACTGAATAGGCTCTAAAGATTTTGGCTCTCAAGTTTTCAGAAATATTTTCAACACAATTAAATTTGTGTACAATTAAATCATTGGAAAGGCCTGGTGCAAGACCTGTTAGGTCTGATCAAATAATTGAATGGATACCCCTCCCCTGGAAACTGATCTTTAGGTCACTTCACAATGGACATTCCCTTTCCCTTAGACCACATTCCACTTGCTAAGACCATTATCCTTCCTCTCTGGACCTTCCCAGGATCTGGACCCTCCCAGAAAAAGCCCACCTGGAGTCCTTTAAAATCTGACTCCCCTTTGCTGGGTGCTGGCACTGGTATCCAGATGACCTAATCTATCTATCTATTTATCTATCTATCTATACATATATGTACATATATGTATGAGCCTATGCGACCAAGAGACTGGCCAACCAGTCGCTATGACGCACACTACCAAGGGGCAGACGCTCAATGCAGGAGCTTCCCCCTAATGGTCAGTGTGCTCCCACAGCCAACCTCCTGCAGCGGGCCCACTTCCCCCAGCCCCTCCCCGACTGGCCAACCTCCTGCAGCCCCGATTGGCTCCAATCGCCCGCCAGGCTGAGGGACCCCACCTGTACATGAATTAGGTGCACCTGGCCTCCAGTCCTATATGATAAAAGCCTAATATGCTAAGTGTCCAGTTGTCCAATCAAAGCATAATATGCTAATGATATGCTAAGGTCGCTCAACTGCTTGCTATGACATGCACTGACCACCAGGGGGCAGACACTCAGACTGGTAGGTTAGCTTGCTGCTGAGGTCCGGCCAATCAGGACAGAGTGAGATGGACTGGACACATCCTGGAGCCCTCCCATAACCCCTCCCTGGCTGGCCAATCTCCTACATCCCTCCCCAGCCCTGATTGTGCACCAGTGGGGTCCCTCGGCCTGGCCTGTGGGATTGGGCTGAAACCAGCTCTCTGATACCCCTTGAGGGGTCCCAGATTGTGAGAGGGCGCAGGCCAGGCTGAGGGACCCCACTGGTGCATGAATTCATAAATTTATAATCCCTTACCACTTTAGCCTTGTGCATTCCTCCTTTGGCAATCCTAACAATATCTTACTAGTCTTTTTTTTTTTAAATTGGTTTCAGAGAGGAAGGGAGAGGGAGAGAGAGAGAGAAACATCGATGATGAGAATCATTGATCAGCTGCCTCCTGCACACCCCCTACTGGAGATTGAGCCAGCAACCATGATCTCCTGGTTCATAGGTCAACCCTCAACCACCCAGCCATGTCGGCCTGGCTTTACTAGTCTTAAAAATCAGGCTCAGGCCTGGCTGGTATGGTTGACTGTCAATCAACGAACCAGGTCACATGCCCTGGTTGTGGGTTTGATCCCCAGTAGCAGGTGTGCAGGAGGCAGCTGATCAACGATTCTTATCATTGACGTTTCTATGTCTCCCTCTCCCTTCCTCTCTGAAATCAATAAAAATATATGTTAAAAAATTTAAATACATATATATTTTAAAAAATCAGGCTCAGCCCTGGCTGGCATGCTCATTGGTTAGAGCGTCAGCCTGTGCACCTAAGGGTCTTGGGTTCGATTACAGGTCAATGGCAGGTACCTGGGTTGCAGGTCAGATCTTCACCCTGGGTTGGGGCGTGAGTGGGAGGCAACCAATGGATGTGTCAAAAAAAAAAAAATAGTCGTCTGAAATTAATAAAAAAATATATATATATATATAAAAAGTCAGGCTCAGCCCAAGGATAAGAGTATTTCTTTTTTTTTTTTTTTTTTGGAAGAGTATGTCTTAACAGCAGTATCATCTCCTTGTGTGACATACACATGCTGTACACAACTGACCTTTAAACCACAACTTTTCTTTGTTTTACAGAAGAAACTGAGGCAGAGAGCAGCTAAGTTACTTATCAAGGCCACAGCTGGTAAGTTGGCAAGAGACAGGACTGGAATGCCAGGTCTGTTTAGCACCCGTCCTCTTTCTTTTCAGATTCTTTGGAATTTAAAACTTCTCCTGCATCCATACCTAGTTTTTTCTTTGTATCATTCTCTCCCACCCACCTCCATTTAGACTGAGACTAAAGGGCTTCACATACAGCAGGAAATAAAAGCAGATCCAGGATAAATTTTCCTGTTGGGGTAAAGCCACATGATCAATAAAAAATGCTAGTTCAGTATTTTTTTAAAATCCTTTTTCCATTATCTTTAGAGAGAGTGGAAGTGTGGGAAGGAAGAAGAGAGGGAAACATCGGGGATCAAACTTACAACCCAGGTATGTGCCCTTGACTGGGAATTGAACCCTTGACCCTTTGGTCTGTGGGCCTACACTCTAACCACTGAGCCAAACCGGCAAGGGCAGTGATTTTTTTTTTTTAATCTTTTTTTAAGTCATGGTCCCCTTTGAGATACTAATAAGGCAAAGGACCCTCTCCCTACAGAAATACATACATTTTTGCATAATACTTCACAGGAGTCACAAATTCCACCTCTCCAATCTCATCAACTATCTGCCCAAAGGTAATAGACACCCCTCCACCCCCAATATATATGTTCTGTTAAGAGGACCTAAAAAAAAAATAGCTGTGGTCAGACTTGATGAGCTCTCTAGTGGCCTGGGAATAGGAGAGATTCAACAGCAATAAATCCCAGGGCCGGTTGGTTGAGTTTCCTGTACACCAAAAGGTGGCGGGCTCAAATCCTGGTCAGGGCACATACCCAGGTTGCAGGTTCTATCCCTGGTTGGGGCCTTTATGGGAGGCAGCCAATCAATGTTTTTCTCTCACATTGATGTTTCTCTCCCCCCACCTCTCCCTCTCTCTAAAAATCAATTAAAATTTTTTTAAAAAATTCCAAAATACCCCCCAAAACAAACAAACAAACAAAAAACAGCAATAAAGATGCTATTTTCCAAGTTAAGTTATCTCACTATTCAAGAACAGATTAGAGGGAATAAGGAGGCACCAACATGCAGGGGAGGGTGTGTTTCTGATGCAATAAAACTACTGGGTGCCCTTTCTTCCAAATTTCTCATGTCAGACAAAGTTAAAAAAAAAAAAAAAAAAAAGAAGCAACACTCCAATACACTTTTCTTTTTTTTCCATTTTTACTTACATTAAATACATCGGTAAATCAGCAGTTGCATTCTGTTACCACGATTGTTATGTTGGAAGAGTAAGGGGGGGGGGGAAGGCAAATGCTTTCTTAAAAGAAAAAAAGGGAACCCCCCCCAAAAAAAAACTGATAGAAGGAAAAAAATGAAGAGCTGCAAAATAAAAACTAAGATTTCCAAGCCCAAGAGAGCTCAAAGGAAAGCAGAGAGCTGGTAGGAAGTAGAAGGAAGGCAGCAGATAGGCCCAGAAGCTAAGGCCAATCCTGTTCCTAAAGGGGCTGGAGGGGGAGAAGCCTGCAGAAATGGTTTCCCAGCCCCAAGGCAATGAAACCTCCTCACTCCTGCTCCATGGGGAAAGCTACACAGAGAAAGAACTTCATTTCTAAGAGACTTAAGAGAGCCATCCTAGTTCTTCCACTTGTAAGAATGCACTGGGTGCTGTTGGGGGCTGGTGAGGTGCTGGCAAAGGAAGACAAAAATGTGTATGTATTTCAGGGCCACGGGAACTAAGGCTGCCCCTGGAAAAGGAAGGGAATTGAAGCCTCAGTGGAAGAACCTAAGCTGGGTCCTTTAGAATCTCAGCCTCATGGATTTCTCAGCTGCTCTGGGACAGAAGGAAGTCTGTAAGCCAAAAGGGCAGAAAGGTTCCAATCCTAGGTCACTGAGGCCTTTCCTATATTACTTTCCCCAACTTTCCAAAACCCTAGGCTGGAACAAAAAGAAGTTTAGAATGCTCTCCTGCCTTGCTGGCTTCCCAAAGACATCCTAAAATACCCGATGAGGGATGTGAAGAGAGGTTAGAGATTTAGAAAGGACCAACTTCGTCTGGTGATGAGAGACAGTTGTGAGGGACCTTCAGTGCCAGTCTCTCTGACCACAGGAACAGGTGTTGTATTTTAAGGGGGCCACAAGTAGGCCTCTGTGGTGCTAGCCCCTAGTGGTACATGGATTAAGCCACTGGTTGCATGAGGGATGAGTATGGGCATAAGCATGGAGGGACTAAACTGAAGATACTAACAATGGAGAAAAGAAATAGGGTCTGATAGGAGGGGGTGGGGGTGGGGGGGAAGAACAGACTGTACAGTGGGAATAAAGATCATACCTATGTACAGGGAAGTAGAAAAGACATGGTAATGGGTGGGTCAAATTGAACATGAACCCTGGGGAAGGAGAGAAAACTCCTCCCTCTGGCCTGACTCCTCTTCACCCCTACCATGGTCTGTGCTATCCTGAGACTGCTCTCCAGTTGCTTCAGTTAATTCCCCAGGAAAGGCAAACCTATACCCACGAATATAGGCTGGCAAGAATATAGGTTAAGAATCAGAGTTGGAGCAAGATAGCATTGGAGATTGGGCTTGAGTAGCTGCCACTCGACAGTCCCTCCCCAAACCTCATATACATCTTGGATTCCATTTAATTTAAAAGGTGAGAGGGCAGGTAAATCAATCAAAACCCCCATAAAACAAGTGTCCCAACTGAACTACCATCAATTAAAGTGCAAACTGCAGGGGGATACAATGGCTGGGGCTGAGGCCATCCAAAGGCCAGAGAGGAAAAAATGCATATGTATAAATCAGAGGATGGGTGTCAGAAACTGGTCCCTCCTCCAATTAGATCACAGCAGAACCAAAGATGCAGGCAACCAGTGAAGATTCTTTGGAGGACTCTGGGGTCCAGAGTTTCCCCCACTGTGGAGGAGAAGCTACCTAAGAGACTGAGTGAAGGGAAACTAGGCCTTGGGAGAGTTCCAGAGCCACAGATGACACTGCACCTCCACCTTCTCCTCCACCTCCACCTCCGCCCAGTTAACTAACAACACGACTCCCAACTGGTGCCCAAGAGCTTGCCTTCCCATCCTCACTCTACCTAGAAACACCTTCCACAAGGCCAACTCATGGATACTGCAGTGTTTTCAAATATGAGAAACTCCAACCAAATAACCCAAAAAGGAATTTTCCTTACTCCCTCCTGCTCTGAGCCTTACTCTCCCCCAGGGCCCTTAATATGACTGAACTGGAAACCTCCATCCTCAGTTCCTGGGTTCACCACCTCCATCCAAGGGAGAGGAGGACAAGGGGATCAAGGACAGGGATTGACCAAAGCAGAAGGGGCAGGAGACAAAAAAATGTTTTCTGAAAAAGTGGGGAGGAGAAGGAAAGGTAAGTAGGTCACTGTCTTGCACCTATAATACAAAGTGAAGAAAGACTGTTTTGGAAGGTAAGTCCTGGGGGATCTGACCCCCAAGCCCCAGAGTAGGGGTAGGAGGTCAGTGGCAACAGCTGCCTGGTGTTGGTTGCTGAAGCGTTAAAAAGTGCCATGACGGAGCTGTCAGGAGGCAGCCCTTGGGAGCCAGGGCTCAGTGTGCTGTTACCGTAGGGGCTGTGTGCTGAGGGTTGGGAATGGAGGTTATTTCTTAGCTCTCGTGCTAGCTCCATACTTGTTCGCTGCTAGCTACCCCCTCAGTTGCTACAACACTGGCTCTTGTTCTGCTGGGACTGCTCATGGAGATCCACACCTCGGCTTCGGCCTGCTGCACCCCCCAGATTCTGGGGTTCACTCTTTGGCAACTTCTTAGCTAGAGGCAAAAAGAGAAGGGAACAAAGTGTGGTAGATTTTAACTCATCCCCCCAAAAGACTATTGGGTGGGGGAGAAGTAAGGGGAAATGTGAAACATTAAAAGAATGCTCTGAAGAGGAAAGGGTTCACTATTTGTAAATTATATTAAAGACAGCTAAAGGATGGAGGTCACAATAGAAAGTTAAGGTATTTCACCAGAGGAGACACTCCCATTTATCCTTATGACTTGGGTTAGTGATCTTGCCTAGAGGTAAGGGAAAAGGACAGGAAGACCTCAGGCAGCTCTGACCTTACCTATTGCCAGGAAGAGATCATTCACGTTCATAGCTGTCTTGGCTGAGGTCTCCATAAACAATAAGCTGTTGTCATCTGCATATGCCTGGGCCTCCTGCAAGGGATGGGGTACAGTGGTGCTCAGAATGTAGGTTAAGAACAACTATGGCAATAAAATATATTAAAAAAAAAAGAACAACCATGGCCTTTCCACTCCCATGTAGCACCAGAGCTAGGCAATGTCCTAGGTTCCTTCACCTTAACTCTCCTCTGAGCCAGTGGGCTCTGGATCCATATTTTGGTGACAACTCCCTCAAGGATAACCTATGGTCTAGACCACTTTATGCAACGAACAGATATCAGGAATCCTAATTATGGGAAAGAAAGGTAAGCTGGTTGGGGGCTTTTGGGTTCTGACCCTTGAACAGTCCCTTACCTTAAATTCAATTGCTCCCTCCTTCCTGTTTTCGCACTGGTACTCCCACAGCTGGTATTCCCTACCCACCTCGCTGCTCTGGAATTTTCTTCTGACTCCTCTAAAATCTCCTGGCTATCATTAGGGTCACAGTGTTGCTGTTTTTAACATGGTACAGGACTGGGGAATGACATGATGAATGTCCTCAGATGAGGTTTCTAGAGAGGGCAGGTTTGGACAAAAGAGGTCCCAAGCACAGAGGGAGTGTATTAGAAAGGAGCTCTATGGGCCATCTTACTTCATACTCCACCATGCGCTTGTTGGCCAGGTCAGCTTTGTTCCCCGCCAGGGCAATAACAATGCTAGGACTGGCCTGTCGCTGTAGTTCCTTTACCCATGTCTTCGCTCGGGCGAAGGTTTCCTAGGAAAACATGAGGAAGAAAATAGGTGGGCTGGAATGACCGTCAATCTAGGCCCATCATCTTTAAAGCCCAGTCTCAAAACTCACCTCTTCTAGGTGGTCTTCCCTCACTGAAACCACCCATCTATAC